TTGCAATCTAAATTCGTATATAAACCATATCATACAGCAAAATATTTTTAAAATCAGATTTACTCTCTCAAAATCGTTAGTGTTAAGGTCTTCCTTTGCAATCTAAATTCGTATATAAACCATATCATACAGCAAAATATTTTTAAAGTCATATTTACTCTCTCAAAATCGTTAGTGTTAAGGTCTTAGGAATCTAAATTCGTATATAAATCATATTATAAAGCAAAATATTTTTAAAATCATATTTACGCCCTCAAAATAGTTAGTGTTAAGGTCTTTCTTTGCAATCTAAATTCGTATATAAACCATATCATACAGCAAAATATTTTTAAAATCATATTTACTCTCTCAAAATCGTTAGTGTTAAGGTCTTTCTTTGCAATCTAAATTCGTATATAAACCATATTATACAGCAAAATATTTCAAAATCAAATTTACGCCCTCAAAATCGTGAGGTCTTTCTTTGCAATCTAAATTCGTAAACACTTCGATGTCGTCCTCCGTTTTCAGCTCGTTTAAAGGTATTAAAATAAAGGGTGTTGCGGGAGGAAGTGTGTTTTATGAAAGTGTTTGTGCCAACGTCTAGGTGCTGATGAACAATATGCCGGCGTTCAAGGACAGGACGCGCCGGCGCATGAGCCTCCCAATAGGTCCTTACCTCAATTTGGACAATCGCCGAGCATCCACGGCATCCACTGGTTCAGACTGTAAGTTCCCATTGCATGACACATAATCATTAATGTATATTGCCTTATAGTGTGCCATATCGTGCATGACCTAATTTATGATTATGTATAGCTATGCATATAGAATCATATGCTTTTCATAATGGTTTTTGGAGAAATAAAGTTTCAAAGAAAGATTATTAGCTTTGTTTTTTTTTTTTTTTTTTTTTTTTNTCTATTTTTTTTTTTTTTTTTTTTCCCGTTTTTATTTATTCGTTAATTATACTGTTATGAAAATTATTCTAATGATAAAATGGTAGTAATTTTACTTATTTTCATTCATTTTAAGTGCATATTTCATTTAAATAAAAATCAAACCCGTGCTTTGGGTTTTAAGGGGGTGGCGGAAAACATATAAGCTGTATTTTCATATTTCTTGCTGCAAAATATACGCAGGAATTTTAAAAAGAAAGTGTTACAAATGATAACTACAAATTATAATTTTGCCAACTAATTCCAACCAACTAATAAATATACAACATTATAAAACGTAATTGCAGTTGTAACGAATTGTATTGTAATAATATTAAAATGTAATAAACTTTAATGAACTTATCAGTAAGGAACGATTTTTTGCGGTCCTAATTTTAGTGGCCCTGGTGATAATTTTTATGTGTAATTATTATAATTTCCATTTCAATTATTTGAACCGTAGTGGCTCAGGTGATGGAGCGTTGCCTCCCAATGAGGTGTACCGGGCTCGAATCCCAGAGAAGGTTGGTCGATACGAATTCCGCACCTGGCTTGCACCGACCGCAGTGCTGACGGAAAAAATCAGGCTAACCGTGGGAGGTTTTCGTGGTCTTCCTCTCCATGTAACGCAAAAAAGCGGGTTAATTTCATCGAAGAATGTCCTCCACGAAGGCAAATGTCTCCTAATACTTCATCCAGGAGTTCCCTTGTCTTCTGGATTGTGTTCAAAATTACAAGGCTACAGCGTTGAACATTAGTAGTCGTGAAACCAAAATTGGATCGGCTGTTCAATAACGGTTATAAAATAAAATTTTAATATTTATTTGAGCCATGGTGACTCAGGGGATGGAGCGTCCGCCTTTCAATGAGGTGAACCGGGTTGGAATCCCATCAATAACTGGTCGATACGAATTCCAAACCGACCACAGTGCTGACATAAAATATCTTCAGTGATAGACGGATCATGTGTTAAAGTCCCTTTGGCGTCAGGCTAGCCCTGGGAGGGTTTCGTGGTTTTCCTCTTCATTCAGCACAGCGAAAATGTGGGTTAGTTTCATCAAAAAGTCTTCCATGAAAGCAAAATTTCTCCTAATACTTGATCCTGGACTTTCCTTGTCTTCTGGATTGGGTTCAAAATTACAAGGCTACGGTGTTGAACATTGATAGTTATAAACTCAACACTGAATCGGCTGTTCAACGACGGTTCTAGGAAAAAAATTCATATTTATAGGATGAAGTAAAATATCCTCAGTGGTAGACGAATCATGGGTTTGAGTCCCCTTGCCGTCAGGCTAACCGTGGTAGGTTTTCCCTGTTTTCCTGTCCATGTAACGCAAATGCGGATAGTTTCATCCAATAGACATCCACGAAACAAATTTCTCCCTATACTTGATCCTGGAGTTTCTTTTTCTTCTGGATTGGGCTCAAAATTACAAGGCTGCTGAGTTGAGTATTGATAGCCGTAAACTCACGGCCTTTCAACAATGGTTATAAAATAAAATAAAATTTCAATATTTGAGCCGCCGTGGTTCGGGGGACAGAGCGCTCCCCTTCCAAAGAGTTGTCCCGGGTTCGACTTCCAGCAATGGATGGTCGATACCTTGGACAAAGAATACCTGAGAATACCTGTTCATTGTTCGCCAAGGTCGATACGAATTCCGCACCCGACTCGTACTGACCACAGTGCTGACGTAAAATATCTTCAGTGGTAGACGTATGATGAGTTAGTCTCCTCGCCGTCAGGCTAACCGTGAGAGGTTTTCGTGGTTTGCCTCTCCATGCGGGTTAGTTACATCTAAGAGTCTTCCATGTCGGCAAATTTATCCCCATACTTGTTTCGGAAGTTTCTTTGTCTACTGGATTGGGTTCAAAATTTCAATACTGCGGAGTTGAACAATGATAGTCATAAACTCAGTACTGTGGCGGCTGTTCAACGGTTTTAAAATATTATAAAATTTTACTATTTATTTTTTCAATACTCTTAATGGGTTTAAAAAAAGCACTTCTCTAAATCTGCCTAGAAATTTCACTAACTCAATATTTTTTTAAACTGAAAATCGTTTTATTAAAACTTATTACACCAAAAAAATTCCAATGACTGTTTACATTTATTTTATAGAAGAATATGAAAGAATTGTCTAAATTAAACGAATTGTTTTTACTGCCGTAATTTGTTTTTATTGTTAAAAAACATGACTTTCACTTTAATGTTTCGAAATGGTATTCAAATTAATTCTGTAAAACCGAAGTTGGTTCTGCTTATTTCTGGTTAAACGATATATTCTTTATTATCGAAGTTACAGCGAGGTTATTGTTGACTTATCAGCGACTGTTTTAAAAAGGTAATATTAGTTATATAGATGATTGAAACTATTTATTCATTATTAATATTAAAAAAAGTAATATCAAGGAAAAAAGTGATATCTGTAAGCTAATCTAAAAATAAAAAATAAAAACTTTTTATTTTTTAAATAATTTTTTAAACTTTAAAAATAATTGAAATTGTATTGCTTGTTAAATTCACTTTTCATAATAATTACATCATATTATTCAGTTGCAGTGTCTAATTTTGATTTTATTAGTCTGTTAGTAGGTGCTTTTTTTAATCCTTCTTTCATAACATATGTTTTCTTTTGCGGTACTGTTTTTTTGAAACTCATCAAATAGTTATTTGATCGAGTGCATGTATGTGTAAAGTAGGCAATGCTACTTACCTTCGTTTTGCCTGCAACAATAGCGATATTGCTAACCAAAAAATTTTCGTTCCTGCTACTAAGTTTAAATCCTATTTAATATAAAGGACATTTTTATACAAATTATTGTTTTTGATACTACGTAATGTAATGAGAATTTATTTTTTTGTTTTCCTTTGTATTTCCGCCTTCGAAAAATAGCTGGAATTAATATAAAAGGACTAATTCCTTTGATTGAATATCCTTGAATTATCCTTTACTGTAGTTGCAAAACCGTTTAAAAAAAACATAGACCATAACGAACCTCGATTGAGATGATTCTGTGAACCAATTAAAGGTTATAATAAAATCGTATCCAAAATTAGATTTATAGCAACTGCTCTCACCAATCCAATACTGGGAGCCAAGTTTCAACATTTTAAATTAACATTTCATCGCACACCTTTTCCTAGAAAATTGTTCAAATGTTGATGGGGAAAATAATGGTAGTTTCTAGGTATATTTGCTTTTTGGTTCCACTTATTTTAAACTCGAGCGTTCGTAAAGCCTTTAAATTACCGAAAAGATAGAATTTATTTTGCAGTCTTGGTGGAAGCAGTTGGAGACCATCTTCATACTTCCAATTTCGATAGACACTTTTTGTAAAATAAATGTGAGAAGAGTAATTTCGAGCTGCAATAAGAATAATAATCTGACCCTTTTAATTGTTTCTATGTAAATTTTTTATTTATTTTATTATTATTATTTTTACTTTTTATGTGGCTGGGAGGCGCAGTTGGTTTGTCGTCGGCGGGTTCGTCCCCCAAGTCTGCGGGTTCGATCCCCGGCCCAGACACCGGATTTTCGGGATGCAGAAAATACTCAGCGGCCACGTCGTATGATTATGCGGCATGAAAAAGATCCCTGGAGTGCCTTATTGGCTCTTGGCATTTCCGACAAAATTAAATTCCTAGTGCACTTTAGCATACAAATACAGTTTCGGTGCTGCCATCTAGTGTGGCAGAAACTAGACGTCCAAATTAACATGGCCAACGGTATCTTACCCATTGTGGTGGTCCTGAAAGAGTAGATACCACTTCTGGAGAACGCATTAGGTCTGCTTCATCGGGAAGACTGATTGTACAGCTCATAGGAAATAAAATAAAAAAACTTAGGGAAAAAAATTCTTTTGATATCTATATGAATTTCATTATGTGCTTTTGATATTTTCATAGGTATCTCTGCAGTCTATTTCTATTCACTTTAAGTATTCTAAGAACATATTCCTTTTGTAGTTTTAAAGGGGGAAAAACTGCGATTTTAAATGATTAATTTTTTATTGTAATTTACTTTTCACGTTTAGCAGCTTCTACATTGAATTAAACTGTTTTCTTATTTTGTGTCTTTTTAGCATCTTATTGCGACACTAGTTCTGATGAAGAGGGTAAAATGCCCCGAGACAAGCACCAAGTCAACTCGGCTGGTGCCTCAGATTTCTGTGTCAAGAATATCAAGCAGAGTGCTTTTGGACGACGTGAGATAGAGATTGCTGAACAGGGTAAATTGTCTTCTGTGTTGCTAACACTAATAATTTATTATTCAATTAGCTTAGAAACCTTTATTCATTTCTGTTTAAGAGAAAGAGGTCTTTCTTTTTTGGAGGGAAATTCCTCTTTCAAAGAAAATTTTATATGCATCTCATGAAATTGAAACTATTTATGTTAACCAAAGAAGATTGGTTCCACGTTTTTTTTTTTATTATTATTATTATTTCTCAATTTAATGAATTGTGTATTAATTATTGCAAAGAAATAAATAAAATTACCGCTTTCCTAAAACGATAATTTCATTTAAAAATGCGTGAAATATTTTTTTTTTTCCAATGCCCACCTGTGTTAACATCCGTCAATTCAGGCATTTACAGGGCGATTTTGTTGGCCTCTATCTCAGGGCACTATATTAGGTGGGCCAACGTCGCTCCCACAGTGAGGACCAATAGTACAGAGAAGGAAAGAACATCCATGCCTTGCCCGGGATTCGAACCCAGAACCTTTCTGATGCAAGGACAGTTCCCTGCCCCCTACACAGGCCGGTCGGCAAAATGCGTGAAATATAAAATCAATGCTAACTGCTTATCTACTGGGTTGCAGTTATTGTGTTTGCTAAAAATAATTTTATTAGGAAATATAAGCCAAATGGCTGTTTGTTAATATAAAAAAATAAAAGGAAGAATTACAAGTTAACTTTTATTCGATTTATCCATTTGATTCTAGATCGCACGAGAATAACGTATATTAACAACAGAATCAAATTAATTAACAACCAGGTGAAATTTCTTACTAATTAATGCACTGGTTAATAAATATCACGTCAGCTTGTAAGAAAATTATCATTTCAAGATGCTTGTGTTTTAAATTTTGCTAGAAATTGTCTCATTTCAATATATATTCAGTACTTTGATTCTTTTGTTAATAACAAAATAGCTGGCATTATGTTAATTTATTTAATTCTAATAATATTTTAAACCGTTTGATTCGTAGTTTTATAATTTTTAAAGTGATTCAATTTATTTCTAACATTTAAGTTATTGATTGTCTAAATGTAGTTAGCTGACTTTTTTTTTTTTTTGCTTTTTGCGCAAAATAAATACTATTATATATTAATTTAAGCGTACAGAAACGTTGATATTTTTCCGGTAAAGATCTTATTTTCACTTGAACCAGCGCCTATATGGAAATGAAATAATTTTTAGTGATTCATTATTGTTTCTAATATTTAAGTTATTGATTGTCTGATTGTAGTTACCTGATTATTATTTTTATAAATTTTTTTTTTGCGAAAAATAAATACCATTATATATTAATTTAAGCGTATAGAAACGTTGCTATTTTTCCGGTAAAGATCTTTTTTTTTCACTTGAACCAGTGCCTATATGGCAATGTGTAAATTAATGTAGTTACCTATGTAATTTGAGAAATGGAATAATTTTTTTTGGCATTTTAACGCATTACCCTTGTTGGTCTGCACATTAACTAGCAGGGATCTGTCTAGACATTTAGTAAAAGGTTCGTTTTTGTAAAATTTTTAAAAAATCATTCGTAATTTGTGAATATAAAATAAACGCTAACTCACATTCTTTCAATCAGGGTTCGCTTTTGTGAATTTATGCAAATAGGGTCCGTTATTGCAAAAAAATCTTTTTCAAAGAGTTTTTAAATTGTAAAGACATACAAGATTATGCTCAACACTGTAAAATTATAATTAAAAAAGTTAAATTTTAAAAAATAAACAGCAGTTGCATTTACTAAATTAGCGATGCAACATACAAATATTTGGTATTTAGCTCATACTGCTGAACGCAGAATATTCATTTCGGACGAATAAAGGAAGAAGCGTCTGCCGAGGACAAAATTTAGTTCGTTTACATCTGTCTTTCTCCCCCCTCCTTCCAAAGAAGAGTTTATTGATTAACAAAGCAATAATAAAGATAAACAAATTTGTGAAGGGTCCGATTAAAAGATAAATTATTTTGTGAAGGGTCCGTTTTTAAGTTAAAATATTTTGTGAATGGTCCGTTTTTATGAAAAGATATTTTGTGAAAGGTCTAAAATTTCTTTGAAATAGACCCCTGACTAGATAATCTGTAGAAATACAGATTTTAAAATGCATACTCTTAAATGTGTTTCTCATAAAATAAAATAACACTTCTTAGTTTTCATATATATCGACTCCATTTCGTTTCCAAATCAATCTTGGAAACACGTCAGATTCTGCTCCATGATCGTCGGTATTGCAAATGCATTCGTGAAAACGAATATTTGAGATAGGGAAGTTTCGGGGATGCGAGAAATTAGCTGAGGCAGCACGACGTGAAATTTGCAACTCGAGGATAAATCAACCGTTTCGGAAATTTTGCGTATTCGTCAGGGAAATGAAATTGATTTCACTTTACTCATGAGATTCTGGCTAAAAAGAGCTATAACATTTCACTCATAATTTGTTTTTTTTCTTCCGTCTTGTCGATTGTATTTTCTAAATTCGCTTGTGTCGTTTGATCACGTGACAGACCAGCGCTATATTTCAAAATCTGAAATAAACTTTAATAGAATTGCAAAGCTAACGCCGTGGTGCCCTTCATTGAATTTTTGTTTCTGTATTTTAAAACATGCAGTGTTCTCTAAACACCGCCCTTATAATTTAATTTTTTAATCTCAGTCGGAAATTAATTGATATTCTCTAAATTGGGGGATCAAGGCGAATTTTTCATAACGAAACTCTATAATTTAAAGGGGGGGGGACAAATATGTGAAGACTGAATGCTCCTGCTGAATTTAGATTTAATCCAGTCGACCTTGAATTTTTAATTTATTTCCGACTATAGTGCTCACCTTCTTGAATTATTCTTCGCCACTCTGCTCATTTGAGATATGATATAATCCAGTCGAAACTGACCTTGATATTTTTTAACTTACTTGTGGTTATGGTATCCACCTATTTGAATCCTAAACTACTGAATCATATTATTTTTCCAAAAAAATAATTAAATAAATGAATAAAAATAAAAACCCGGACGTATGGAACAAGCCCACCCTGGGCTGTCGAACCATTGATGATGATGATGGTAATTAAAGATAATAAGTGCGTCAGTTTTCTTAAGCAATATTAGCTAAATTACCCATTAAGATTATTTTAATTGTATTTTTTAAAAATAAATAACAAAATTTGAGAAATCTATCTTGTCACTTAAAAGACAGTTATTTAAACCACTAAAAAACACATTTCATTATTTTTTTTAAAAATAGATTTTTGTCTTGTTTAGTTTTTAAATATTTTTGAAAGTTTATTTTTCTCTCTTTTTCACTACTTTACCTATATATGCATCGCTTGTTTATTCATACTTTATCATTTAATTTGTGTGTTTTATTCTCTATGTTTATTATGTTTTATTTTAGTGAATACTGGCTGCACTGTATCATTATATAGTCTAGTTCCTCATGAAATAATAATTCATTGATATAAATTAATCTGTCACAATTTTAAATCTTGTGTTTTGAAGAAAGTAATTAATTGATACAATTTATACATTGTCATTTTAAATGCACTTCATTGGTGTTTTTTCACCTTAGAATAATATTTTTATATCAAATTATCTATCTTATCTAAAAGTATTAAAATAGTATCACTACTTAAAAATAAAGTCGAATATATGCAACTACAAATCAATATTTTTTCTTTTAATGGTTATGTCTCTGATAGCTAAAGTTCATTGTGGAGACATAATGATTTTATACAATAATTTTCCAAAACTACTTCGGTTGGCCATTTGCAATTCGAAAAAAAGTGAAATGATATTGTCTAACCATGTCATTTAAATCCGATTTAATTAGATACCTGTAAGCTGTAAGTGACGTTACACTTATGTGTCAAACCTCATTGACTGCTGAATCGACAAATGCTATGTTTTACCCTTGACGACGTACGTCACTAGCAGGTATCCAATTAGCGATGCTCGATTGTCGAATGGCTTTGTCTATATTCAATTAAGAACAATTTTCAAAATAGCCATTAAAAATGGAACATTTTATATTTAAATATTTTAAAGTGAATTAGCGCTAACTCTGCATTTAAATTATTATAAGTCTGAATTTTTATTTTTATTTCAAACCTTATATACTCCAGATTTGAGTTTGACTTTGATTTTAAAAAAATTACGATGATTGGAAGAGAATTAATTTTGTAAAATAATAAATAAAACCCCTTTTTATTGTTAGTTTATAAATGTAGATTTAACTTAGTTCAGCCGTTTTTGATGAATTTTATTGATTACCAATAGAAGCTTTATATATGTAAATAGTTGAATTAAATAGGACTTACTGAATGCTGTTAAGCGTTACAAAACTATGCATTTTTTTCATTTCTTAAAAAAAAATTTTAACGTTTTTGTTTTCAAAAATGATTGTTAGTGACAAAAATGTATTAATGGACTTGTGTATGTTTCAGAGATGCCTGGTATCATGTCTTTGAGGCAAAGAGCTAACACTGAGGGAGACAGGCCACTAAAAGGAGCCAAAATCACATGCTGCACACACATCAATGCTCAAACAGCTGTGAGTAAATCACTTCTAAATTACACTTCTAACTTTTTATTGAACGGTTTGCTACTTACTTGCATTGCTTTCATTGCAATATTTTGGGCATTAACAAATTTTTGTTTTTATTCTCTGTACTATTTTGTTGAAGTAAATGATTAAACTAAAATTATGCTTTTTTGACATTTCAGGTCCTTATTGAAACTTTGATTGCTTTAGGAGCCAGTGTTCGATGGGCAGCTTGCAATATTTATTCAACTCAGGTATGAAATACTTTAGTATTTCTGTAGTCCATAATAATTACTAGATAATTTTTAAAAAAAATTACATTTAAAAAGTTTAAAATTAAGTTAAATAAATGAAAAAACTTAATATTTAAAGCAGACATAAATTTTTTTTTATTACTGATTCATTTAAATTTTTTTTGTCTAACAAAAAAGTTTCTTTTGTCCTTAATTTTCAGCATTGTTTCCTTTATTTCTTTGTTACTTTTCACCATTTCTTTTTTGTGCAGCTTGGAGCAATATAATGATGAGCCTTTATTCGGGAGAACAATTATGAAGATACCATTTACTGAGGCAATTTGTTTCTGCATATAGTACTTCTACCTAATTAAAATTCTAATAATTTGTAAAATGTTGTTTACCAACAATATTGGGAAACAGTTTCATATAAAAATTTCACCTTTGGAAAAATTGACGTATCACTTCATTGCTCCAATTTCATTTATAATCAGTTTGTTATTATAGCAACTGAAAATTTTGAACACTATTGATTACCTTAAGGAGATGCAAAATTTCTTAATTATTGATTAATTGTCAGTAAATTTTTACTGACAATTAATTCTGTCAGTATTTTTTTTAATTTCATACTATTTTTATGATATTTTTCTTTGTGGAATCTAAAGTATCATTGTAAAGTTGTGTCCTGTAATAGGTTTATGAGACTGCCAAGAACTAAATACATAATGTTCTGTAACTTAAAAAAGTTTTGTTTGCTTTATTGTTTGTTTCGAGAAAAATGTGCTTAACTTTGATTATTTTTTACATAACAATTTTAATGTGTCAACAATTAAAAAAATTTTTAAAACTTTGTTAGATAAATTAACACAGGGTTCACAGTTGGTCCAGATATTCCTGATAAAAATATTTTGTACTGAGTATTAGTTTTTTGTCCTGATGTTCCTGATTTCTATGTGTGTCTTACCATTTTCTAAGAAATACATATGAGGAATTTTAAAAATTTGATTTGAAGGATTGAAAGATTTGAATTTTTGATCAAAGATCTTTTTGTTTTAATTAATAATGCTAGTATAAATAGGAAAATGTTATAGTTTTAATTTAGGGATCATCTACTTATTATTTATATGGTTCAAACATATAACTTCATTCTTTAGATTCATAATTTCAACCTGTGTTGGAATTCAGTCATTAGGCTATAAAGATACTGAATTATAAGGTTTACATTATCAAATTTTTGTGGTAAGGAATTCAGAGATCATATGCCTATCAACAATGTAGTAATCACATTGTAGTATTTTTAAATAAAAATTCGAGGACCATTCAATAAAATTACTTTTGTACAAAAATGTTAAGCAGTATATTCACTGTGTTTTCATTTTGAAAGCCTACTTTAAAATTACTTGATTAAGGAAGTATTGAACTCTATTACAAATTTTAAATATATATTGGTATACAGGAATACTTAATAATTGATATTTGTTTTTTTTTAACGCAACTGCACTGAAGAAATTTTCCATGTATGATTTGTAACTATTATGAGTTGTTCAGTATTCATAAAATTATTGTGGGAACTGTTTAAACTTTCTGTTCAAAGCTAGTAATTAGGAAATGAAAAATAGTATATTTTATTGTTCTGTGTTTATTAGACTTAATTTTAATTTGCCCTTTTTAAAAGTAGCCTGGTATTTGTGTATTGCACTAAAAAATGTGCTGATGTTTTCGAAAAGTGTTGTTTTGATTTTTTTAGCTTGATTTTATTTTAGCCTTTTTTTGTTTATTTTTTTGCATGATTTTTTTTAGTATGATTTCATTTTAATATATTTTTCAATGCACTTTTACCTAAAATGGTGTACTGTAGCTATACTTGTGTTCCATCATTGTGGAATTGATAAGCATTTAAAAAAAAATTTGTTTAAATTATTGATAAAAATTTTTTTATTGCCAAAAATATTCAAATTTAAATAAATTTGAAAGGTTTAGAAAGTGTTAAACGATTATGTATTAAAAATGTATGACTGTAGAACAGTTTCATAACGAGTTGTCTCATAAATAACTTAAATTTGGCTAATCATAAACTTTAAAAATTTTTCCCTATTGTGTATCTGAAAGCTCTAACATTTACGTATAGGAAATTTTCTAACTTACTTTTAAAGGTATTGATTTATTTTTTTTATATTCAAATTGTCTATATATAAAAATGGATTGATTAAGTATTTGTACACTTTTAAACCTTGATAGTTGGACGGTCATAGTTGACACAGTAGTTGCTGTAGGTAATTGTAGCTGGAAAAAAATTAAATTTTATGCATTCTAAATGTGATTAATATTTGGTCACGTTTGTAGCTATAAAAAAAATACAAAATAAAAAATATGGGAAAATAGTTTGTTTTTATCTCGTATATCCATGTTAATGAATTAGGTATGTTCTAAACTTTCATGCTTTATAAGCGATAAAGTAAAAATCAGAATTCATATGTCTATGCTCTTTTCTTTCTAATTTTGAAACTTGCTTGTTAGTTGTGAAAAAAAAAACGATTATAACACTTTAATATTTTTATTTATTGTATGCACATTGTAGTTCAATTATTCATTTTTATTTCAGAATGAAGTTGCTGCTGCTGTTGCTGAATCTGGTTAGTTAGTTTTAATTAATTTCAATACATTAAATTAAAATTTAAATATATTTCTAAAAAAAATTCTGAAAGGTTGATTAGAGTTATTCTATATTTTTGAGTTTACTGTTTTCGGGTCTTGGAAAAAAGTCCATAGTTTGGCCATGCATTTTAGACATCATAATGTGTAAAATATATACTAAGTAAACAAACAAAAATATATATTAACTGCGAAGTATTAATGCTATTTAATAGAAAAAGGTATAGAAAGTAATTTTTTTATGAATCAGTAATGATAAATGCACAGTGCAGAAAAAAAAAATCACTCGGAATAACTCTTGATCAAATGATCAAGTATTCACTTACTAAGATTCAAAGGTTCAAGGGAGTAACCTCAAAAATGTTTAGTGCAGACAATGTTTTAAGTTACGAAATCAGGCACAAAAATGTACTTTCTCTCTGAATAAACATACCACTTTCCTGATAGATTTGATTCCTTACTTTCCAATTAAGAGAGGTATTCTCAATTTGGGAAATAAGGTCCCAATTGTTTGGTCATGAGAGCGGTTCCAAAATTTGGGTTATTTTTTTGTGCATTTTGCCCTATCTTGATAATTCTTTAAGCATAATTAATAGTCCTTGTGCATGAAAATCCAACCATTAGATAAAAAATTGTTCACGGTGATTCTCTCTTTTTTGTACTGTACATTTAAAGTCGAACAATGATTCAGATATAAAAGATTTATTGTGTAATTATGGCAAATGGTTTTAAAAGGGAATTATTATCTGAATATATTTAACATTATTTCCACTGTGTGTTTCAAATAACTTATTTTATTAAACTTTCATATTATTTTATAAATTTATTTTCAATAGATATGAAAAAAAAAGTTTTAGTTGTCAGTTTTATTTCCTTTATACTTTACTTCTGAGATGCTGAGTTGTTATCTAATAGCTCAAAATAAGGAAATGGGACATTCCAATGAAGAAAAAGTTAATTTAAAATAGGAAATGGAATTTTAAACTAGTATTTTGTACCAAAAACTGACCTAGACCTTTTGCTGTCTTATGTAAGAGCAGGTAGTTGAATGACTAGTTCTATTTTAGGGAAAAAATTCATGGCACATTTTGGCTGTTTAATTCTCAATAGTTTTTTCATATGTTTAAAACTTAACTATGTAATCAAGTTTTAAATATTAAGGAGGAAAAGTAATTTAATTCTAAACAATAAAGCTTCAGATTTTCAATTTTTTTCCCCTCTTACTTTTTAATTTTTGCTTATTTTAATTGAATAAATTGCAATTCTTTTTAGCTAATAAATGATTTGCTCATTGCTTCATTTTCTTAGTTATTTCTGATATTGGAAAAATTTGTTATTAATATTGAAAAAATATAACCATTTTTTGGTCTCTAAAGCAATGTTAGGGTCTTGTAGTTTTTTTAACATTCAGATATAAGTTTATATAAATTCTATAATGAGAATTTATGCCATAATGGTGACAGTTGCTACCAAATGTTCGACACATTTACTAAAATTATATACATGGGCGAAAAATTTGTCACCTTGAAGAAATGTTTGGAATTTACAAAATAGTAACAAAAAATAGCTTTTTGCATCGAATTCGATCCATTTAAAAAATTGTTCTACTAATTTTATTGTTCTGTGAATATTATTCAAATAAAATAAGTCTGGTACAAAAAATTTTAAATATAAATGTTGAAATTTTAACTCTACATGTTGCGTTTTGCTTTGAATTCATATATACTGACAAAATATTTTGCTCTCTTTTAGAATTGAATTTATTTAAAAAAATTTTAATTGTTAGATTTTTAGTTTTCATTTTCTCTGTGTTCCTCATTTATTTATTTGGTTCTCTCATTTTAATCTCCATGTTTAATGTATTTACTAATATCATTTTAGCTTTTTTTCACTTAATTTTAATAAAAACTAATATTCAATTATTATGGAGTAATGAACTTAGTTTTAAGATGTTATAGGTAGCAATTAATAATTTTTGATGTGTACCATAACAGTAATTATGTGTGAAGTTATTATGGTAGACACACTTGAGAAAAAAAAATCTATTACAGTCAAACTCGTTTATAACGAGCTCGGATTTAACGAGAACTCGGATTTACCGAGGGAAACGAGATTATTTGGTTGGATCAATGTTAATTCTATGCAACAGAAGTTGCTTTTAACGAGCAAGACCCTGTTTTAGCGAGCAATATTTTTCTGTCTTGCAATCTTTTTTCTCATCTTTCTAGTCTTTCTGTCTTATCTTTTTTTCAAAATGATAAGAAATTTTCGCGAAATAAAAAAAAACGCGATTAAATTAATTAATGTAATTAAAATAAGTAAGTATTAATTAAATTTTAAGTAAATTCAATCATTTGACCTCCCAAGCACCCCCCCCCCTCTTCTGGTTGCACGCCTGTCTTAAATACCCGTTTATTACGAGCACTCGGATTTAACGAGTAAATGTTACTGTCCCTTTGTGCTCGTTATAAACGAGTTCGACTGTAGTAAGTTTTCAGACCACTAAATAAATATCTAGGTGGCCCTATTGGACCACTAAAGTTTTATTGTTGGTTGGAACCCTATCTTTAATATTCATAAAAGTTTCAATAGTCACTACAATTATAAGGATTGTTTTAACTAAACTGTGTAATCTGATGTTGTATAGGTGTTCCAGTATATGCATGGAGAGGAGAGAGCGAAGAGGACTTCTGGTGGTGCATAGATAAGTGCATATATGCTGATAATTGGCAGCCAAATATGGTAATATGACATCTCTTTTAATTTTGCATGGAAAAAATTTACTATATTTTTTAATAACTTCATTTGTTATACATTCCTCTTTTAGAAATGTTCTGCAGAACTTTACAAAAAATTAGAGTGGTTGATAAATTTATGCTTTAACTCATTTCGACCAAAGGTGCACAAACACACCATTTGAATTAATATTTTTTTTATCAACACTGTGACAAATATTTTTCACAAATTTTATTTTTCTGCCATTGTCAAGGGTTCGAAAACATCTATGAAATATTGGTAATTCAATTAGAGTAAACGCTTTCTGCTGAGAAATTTTTAAACTGCTCTAGCTTATTAACTTCAAACGGTTATTGACTAATGAAATTTTTTGAAAATATGTATAATTATTCTTTTTGAGATTTATCATACATTTTTATGATGGATTAAAGTTGCAATTCAGTAAATAAAAAATAAATTAAAAAAATTTTCATAAAAAGAACAAGCATTCAACTAAATGGTTTGTTCATTGATTTAGTGAATGGTGCCTATACGTACCAGTTTATTTCTTAAATAAAATAAAATTTTTCGTACATGAAATTTTTTTTTGTATCTTAATGATTGGGACAGCCGGTGTGTATTCAAGAGTTGTGAAATATTGATTAAAAAGTTATTGATTATCAGATTTTGGTATATGTTGTTAATGTCCAAGTACACTAATACAATTTAATAATTTAACTTGATTTTAAAGCTTTGATGGAAAACATATTAACAAATGTAGTTCTAGTGAACTTATTAATGTCGGGGAAAATTGCTTTATTAAAAGACTAGTTATAATACAGTTGTACTGTTAAATATTTTTAAATCTTAAATTTATTTATTTACTTTTTTTTATGAAAACAACACTGTCTCTTCAACAGAATTTTATAAGTTTAGGTTGGATATTTTTATGATGTCTAATGATTATGCTCAGAGAAAAATGTTTACATATTGCAATGTGTGCAAAAAAAACGTACACTTTTGCAAGTTCACTTTTTCTAACTTTTACAGTACGATACTTTTATTTACGTCGCACTAGAGATACACAATGAGCTATTGGTGACTGTCTGGGAAACAACCCTGAGGATGATCCAAAAACAACATACGTACATCACGTCGAATTTCATATACCCAGGGCATATTCACATATCATCCATCGATTCACACATCGTAATTTTGATCTGAACCAGATCACCGATCAATAACCCCAGAGGTATTTATTTGTTATGGCAACTTGGAGGACTTGATGACCCTGACAGACTTAGCGTGCAGCAGCCACTATTTTGTGCACTCCCCATTTCTTCAGCTGGCAGAGATCAAACTCCCGATCTCTCGGACATGGGCCCCAACCAATACCTCCTAGATTGAAGAAAGCCGAAGGACGGAAAACGATGACTCATACAGTTAGGCCCAGATTTGCTGATCACTTCTGACGAAGCTTCTCTTTTTCCCTTCTGTTTCTCGACACTTTTTCGTTACTCTTCTACTAATTTTTTACTTTCTACAAATTATTATTATTATTTTTTTTGTCTAGATTAAATGTTCTTAAATTGTGTAAAAATGCTTAATATATTTATTTGTTTTCAGAAATGATTAACAATAAATCAATTCTAACAAAAATAACTGTTGTGTGAATGAAAAAAAATATATTTTTAAGCATTAAATATCAGTTTTATTTTATAAATTGGAAAATTTTATCTAACTTTTTGTTATAAAATGTATGGATTAAAAACAAAGAAATATATTTTTAAAGGGATTTTACACATTTATTATTATTATAGTTTTGACATAAAACTAAGAAAGGGGTCTAATTTTTATAATATGATACTTACATTTTTAGTAGATGATTATTTTGGATTTTAATGATTATGTTTTGCATGTTATTAGAACTAGAGCATACGAAATAAAATAGAAATTGTTTATAAACAATGACATAAAATGAGCTTAAAAAAATTTAGAAAATCAAATGCAGTCTTCAAACAAGGTTTAGATAGTAAAAAAAAACATATCAAAAGCATGATTATAATTTGTATTTTTTTCCTGTGGAAGTGTGATTGTTAGAAGTGATAAACTAAAATTAAAGTAAGCAACCTTAGATAACAAATATTTTATTAAATAGCAAATTCAAAAAACGATAAATAAAATGNTGACATCATTTCTATTTTCGAATATTTATTAATGTTTCGATTGTTGTATGTAGATTTTAGACGATGGAGGTGACGCCACACACTTAATGTTAAAAAAATACCCAGCCATGTTCCGTGGAATTAAAGGTATTGTTGAAGAAAGTGTTACTGGTGTACATCGTCTCTATCAGTTATCAAAATCTGGGAAGTTGACAGTACCTGCAATGAATGTTAATGATTCTGTAACTAAAGTAAGTTTTATATAATCATTTAAGAAATATTTATTTTAATATATATGTTACCGGCAAAGTATCAAACGCAGGCATTGTATAGAATGACTAGGCATTGTATAGAATGCCTGATGTTTTTAGGCGAAGTATGAAATGAGTGAAGTATTACATACTTAGCCTAGGCATTGTATAGAATACCTAGGCATTCTATACAATGCTGGATGCTATTTAGGCAAAGTATGAAATAAACGTCCTGATGAGGTTATTATGTAAATGATGTGCATGTTATTGTGAATGAGCGAAATAGGTGATTGTTGACTTTCACCGGTGAATGTTGATAATCACATAGTCGCTTTGGTGAATATCCGAAATATTTATTACATCCGATATTGTATTCATTTATTCGTGGATATAATTACATTTATTCGTTATTTTAATACTTACTGACGATAGATTAGAAGAAACATTAGTGTTTGGAGTATCGGGCAAATGTAAACCGGGCAATGATCCTTAACCTTAAAAAAAACACCAGTGTAGGGTATACCGGGCAATGGCACCTGATCTTAAAAAAACATCAGTGTAGGGTATACCGGGCAGTTGCACTAATCCATAAAAAAAACATCAGTGTAGGGTATACCGGGCAATGGCACTTAACTAGACCTAGTATATATTTCGGACATTTACCAAAGGTCCAGTCTTACTAGTTCTAGTTAAGTGCCATTGCCCGGTATACCCTACACTGATGTTTTTTTAAGTTCAAGTGCCACTACTCGGTATACATTTGCCCAGTATACCCTACACTGATGTTTCTTCTAATCTATCGTCAGTAAGTATTAAAATATCGAATAAGTGTAAAACTACCGATTTCGGTCATTCACAGTAACATGCATTTCTCAAAAATAAAAATGTTATTCTGAAAAAATACCAAGAGTGAAAAAATACCAAAACATTTATTCAAAATGTGGAAAGAAAATTGAAAAGTTATGCAAAACAAAATTTAAGCCTTTCTTATTAAGGGAAACAAAATTTTCATATAAAAAATATTAAATTAACCTTCTTGTTGCAACATGGCAGGCTTGAATGACATTTTGAATTATATTTTATTAAATTTTTCTATGTAAATTTCATTAAATTCCTCCATTTCCATGTAGCACAGTAAAAAAATCATTTTTGTTATTAGTCAAAAGTCACGAGCCTTGCCAAGTGATATTTGAAACGAATCAGAGATGTATTTTATACTTTGCCGATTTCTCTTTTGGCAATCTATCGAATGCCTAGGAAATGTGTGAAATATAAATCATTTCATACTTTGCCGGCTAATTTTAGGCATTCTATACAATGCCTAGACATTCTATACAATGCCGGATTTTATAGTTTGCCGGTAACATATATCTATATATAAAACAGAGCTTTAGTCATTTTAAAATTGTAAGCCTGTTTAAGTTTGTTTATATTTTAATAATGTGTTAATTTGTGTTAACAGAAAAAGCATAAGCCATATTTTGTCAGCTTTGCATCTCTTTTATTGTAATTAAATCATTGCAATCTATTCAAATCATTGATGTAATTACACTTCAGTTTCAAAAAAGAGTAGTTTTGCCTTTGTTATTTCTTACTTTGTGATTTCAAACTTTTCCTGCAATATTGTTTCACTTATGTTTTCATACATTTACTTATTTCATTCTGTTTTTAAGTTTAGCTACCCTTTTTTAGGACTAAACTTTAAAATTTTGGGTGAGAATTGCCCAAACTTAATGTCAATATAAAGCAGAGTTTATGTATGTTTCATATGTAGACAGGAATTTCTCCTCCTAATAACAGAAAGTTATAAAATGTCTACATCCTAAATTTTAAAAAATGTTTATTTAATCATATTAATTGTAAAATACTCTTGCTAATAAATATTATTTCAATGTTTTTTGTATTATAATTATTATTATTTTGTAAAAGATTCAATAAGTTTATTTAAAGCTTCTAGCATCACTATTAGATTTAGAAGCTAGATTTTCTCAAAAACTATACACTTATTCAATTTTAAAAGTAGACATAAAACAAAATTGTTTAAATAATAAAAATGTGTTGAACAAAATGAAATCTTTTGCTAAAATTCTTTATTTATTTTAGACGAAATTCGACAATCTATATAGCTGCAGGGAGAGTATTCTTGATGCGTAAGTAAACTTTTAAAAAAATTATGCAATTTTTTTTTATGAATTTGTATAAAAAAAAAAGCTTAACGTAGCATTGATTAAGGTTTTTCTGTACTATTACTTATTCCATGTGTAGCAAAACTTCCAGAGATTTTAGTTAACCTTTAACATTCAAAGTCCGAAGATTAACAGGAAATTTCTATAAAATTAAATGGTAGTTTTTAATAATGGACAAGTTATTTTAAATGCTAATATCAAGTATAAGGTAAGCAGAAAAGGTTAGTAATGTTGTTCACAGACCTAGAAATGATATTTAATAGAAAAGAATTGGAATTTCAATTATATAAGCAATTATAAATGCTATCATACTTTTTAATTTGATAATTATGTAATGAAGTTGAACTTTTTAAGTTTTATAATATTAGTGATACTTAAAAAAGAAAAAATATATATGCCAGTAACCAAAGCTTGGGAATTTTTTTTAAATTTGTATTTAGTTTTTCCTTAATGCCTGAATTCAATTCAAAAAACATTTATAAATTGTTATAAAAATGTACTTTAACAGAAATTGAAAAATCACTGTCTAAGAGATAAATATTTGTATATTTTTTTTATTTATAAATATTTGCTGAGTTTCAGAAACCTCTTTAGATTATATTTATTTCATTATTTTCTGTGTCTAAAGTAAATAATTATTTTCAGTTTGAAGCGTTCAACTGATGTTATGTTTGGTGGAAAACATGTTCTTGTCTGTGGGTATGGTGAGGTAATTTATCACAGTTTTTCATGAATTTTAGTTTTTGATTAAAATATTTGTGTATAAATATGTACAGTTAGACTTCTTAAAAAGAGTATTTTTTGAATGTTAAAAATACTTTCTTTAGTGGGTGAATTTTATTTTAATTTATTAGTTGTAAATTAAACTTATTTGTATTTAATGTTAACTTATTTCATTAGAGAAAGCTTAAAAAATATTTCTTTTATAAATTTTTATCTTTTATTATTATTATTTATTTATTCTTAAAAACGGGATTAAAGCTTGAAAGGGAAGTTTTCTAATAAAGTGCATCAATAGATTCAATTCTAGTTTACATCTAAATATTTTATATTAAATTTATGATTACATTTTTTAATGAAACAAAGGCTATGTCATAAGCTGCATAATCAAACAATTAACTGTTGACATTGATTATATCCCTCTCTTTTTAATATTGATTTGTAACTTTTTTGTATATTTTAAATTTTTTCTTATTAATAGAAAATTCTCCAATGAAACATAGTTAAATGAACCAGTTTATCATACTGTTGGAATTTAAAAAATTAGTTAAATTTCAAATTTATAACTTAGTCTATTTTTCAAGCATTTTTATCATTTTTATGTACCTAAATATGGTTTTATTATCTAAGAATAATTTTTTGGTTAACAGAATTGAAACGTGACCTTTCCCAATTTTTTTTATTTGTTTTAGTTATTTATTGTATCAATTTCATGTTCAAAATCTCGTGTTAAAATTTTTCCTAAAGAAATTATTATTTTTAAATAAAAATGCTGTATTTTTCATAGCATTTCACAGAATATACCAATTTATTTCTCACTGTTTTTTATTGTTTTTAGTTACAATAAAAAGCAGTGAAACTTTTTTTTCTTTTTTTATGATAAAAAAAAATCAAAGTACTACTTTTCTCATATGCCAATTATCTTACATATGCCAATATTCATATTCCAATTACCTTACACTAATACTTTTTCACTTGATAGCAATGATATTCCTAACATTTTGTTAGTTTTCTCCTTCTAGGTTGGAAAGGGCTGTTGTTCTGCTTTGAAAGGAATGGGATCTGTTGTTTGTGTTTCAGAAATTGATCCTATCTGCGCTCTGCAAGCTTGGTAAATATTTTTTTTACACCTGTGTGTGTTTATAAATTTGTTTTTGAGAAGTATCATGTACTTTTTCTCTTTTTTAAAAAAAAATATTTTCTAAGACACAACTAATGCTAATCGTCTAGTTCTTAAAATTATTAGGATATAACATGGCAATTACAGATACTGGAATGAGTATGTTTCTCTACGTAAAAGTAAAGCTAAACAACATGAAAAAAAGCGAAATTTTGTAGCTTTATTTGTGCTTTATTCATGTTATCTATCTTTCACTGTTATTAATTGACTTTTTATTAATTTATTTTTAAGAAGCAAAATGTATTTATTGTGATTCATTTTAAAGTTTTCTTTTTTTAAATAACAAATACTAACTGTATTTTCCTAAAAATATTTTTAATGTAAGAGGTACTTAAGAAGCTTGTAATGTTCATTCACCAAGAGTTGGCACTTGGCTTCACCTTTGTCATGTTCTTGCTTCATTGCGTTTTTATTTTTTAAATATGCTTTTGTTCAATTTTGATTTTTAAGTCAGATAACATTGAGAGCAATGTTTCACAATGCTTTTATATTGTCTTTGACATCAAATTGGAATATATTTGAGTAGTGTATTAGTAATATAGCTTCAAAATCAGACTTATTTTATAATCATTTTGTGCATCAGTCATTTTTAGTATTTTTTTAGTTTTGTTATTCTTAGCAATATTTATTATTTTTATTACTTTTTAGCATGGATGGTTTTAGAGTTGTTAAAGTGGGAGAAGTGGTACGACATATCGATGTATTGATTACAGCTACTGGTAAGCAAGCTTTACATCAAATTTCTATTCACTAACAAATGTTTCTATGATTTTTGTCATGTTTATACTTATGTTTTATTCAGGGAATAAAAATGTTGTGACCAGAGAGCACATGGATAAAATGAAAAATGGTTGCATTCTTTGTAATATGGGCCATTCAAATACTGAAATTGATGTGGTGAGTTTATAACTTACTCTCATTAAAAAATTTTTGATTCTGACAAGATTTAGAGACCCTACTTAATTTGTATGATAACTTAAAAATATGAATTACTTTGAAGTTAAAAAGGCTTTAGTTTTAATTTATTAAATTATACTGCAAAATACATGCATTAATTGCGAGATATCTAAGTGTTAGGTAGTGTTCTGTGTTAATTTAATATTTTTCAATTATTCATACTATTTAATCGATTGATTGAACTATTGATACCATTTAATTATTGATACTATTTAATCCTATCTGTTCTCTAATAGTATTTTATTCATGAATTATTTTCAAATGAAAGTGAAAATGAATTATTTTTCTTTGAATTTTTATTCTGAAATTGCATATTTTTTATTCACAATCTAGACAAAAATATGAAAATTTTTCAGTTCTGCGCTTAACATATCTTCTGTGATCAAGATTTTTATTTAATTTTCAAAGTTATATGTAATATCTTATCAATGAAACTTAGCACATTTCATCAAAATTTTATAAATTTTCTCTAATTTTTATATTCTTAATTTTGTTTTAGCAAAGTTTAAAAGGTCTAACATGGGAGAAGGTTCGATCACAAGTGGATCATATTATATGGCCTGATGGAAAAAGAATAATTCTCTTAGCTGAGGTGAACTTTACTTTATTGTCGATGTTGAAAACTGTTTTTAAAAATAATAATATATAATTAAAAATTATTTTTATTATTTATTTACTGCAAGCAGGAATATCTATATGAATATTTTCATTTCTATACTATCAATAGAGAGAGAGCAAAAACATATTTCAAAGGAATTTAGTGCAGAACCACTTGTGTTACTTTTAATGTTCAATATTTTGCTCTCTGAATAGCTAAATAAATTATTTACTATCTGAACTAAATATAAAGAAAATAAAGTTATAATAATAAAAAATCATAGATAACTGTTTCATGTTACTAGTATTTCTAAAGTTTATAATTATAGTAATGTACTATAAATATATTGTTATATAAAAATTATAGTGTTGTACTATAAATTTTACACGAGATTCATATGGGACGAATTTCATTCAAACTAAATTGAAGATAATTTTTTTTTGTAATACATAACTGAATTGTAGCGATTTAATTGTCACTCACTGAATAACTGATCCTTTGTTTACTTTTACATAAATTAAACATGTAAATTATATAATATTACTAAGGAATTATTTTATTTTTCTTGCGCTTAATTTTAAAAACTGGTGATTTCAAATTACAATAATAAAGTGCAATAAGATAGATACCAAATATAATAGAATCAGTTTTTATATTTTTAATTTTCTTTGTCTTTATTCAAGTGACATCAAAAAATTTCGCATTCCTAATATTGTAAGTACAAGTAATATAGGATAGTACTATTTACGAATAGCATTTATATTAAAATAAAAATGTATTAAAGAAATATAAAATTTTCTGGTACTGATATTATTTTTATACTAGTTTAAATTTTCACTTTTCTTTTTAAATTGGAGAAAAAAGTATTTCTTCATAGGCCTTTGTTTTATTTAATAGTAAATTTAACGAAATTGATATGCCGTTGAATTGTTTAATTATTTTTAATTTGTCATCATGCAGGGCCGTCTTGCCAATCTGAGCTGTTCCACTATTCCTTCATTTGTTGTATCCATTACAGCATCTACTCAAGCTCTAGCTCTTATTGAATTATTTAGTGCTGCTGCTGGGAGGTACAAAGGAGATGTTTATCTTCTGCCCAAAAAAATGGGTAATTCTCTGATTAATATATTTATTTATCAATCTTTTCTTTCTAATATTTCCTTCCTTTATATACAAACTATTGGATAAATATACAAATTTTCTAGACGTTTATTACCTGAACTTATAAAAATAAATCTAAATTATTTTTGTAAAATGTTTTATACTTGAATTTAAAGTTATCTAAATACTATATATCCTAGTGTATTTTGATTATGAGATAGCAAATGTAAGTTGTTCTTTAAAAAAAAATGTGAAAGTTTCTAAAAAAGTGTTAACAAAAGTATAAAGTCATAAAAAATTATCAAGTTTACAATATTTTCCCCAAATATAAAGCATTCCACATTGTTCTTTCTGAATATGATACATTTACCTTTCGAATAAAGATGCACTAACAAATGTAGTAAAATCTTTTCTGGAACTCAGTGGATGAAATAAAATCAATCGCAGATTGGAATTCGTATGACGACATGTCGTTACTTATGCCACTTGCTATTCGATAGATTTCAGCAAGCCTGCTTGAATATATCAGATTTTTAAGGCAGATGTTAAGTTTTCTGTTTTATCAGTGGTGCCATCTGCAGTCAAGAATACGACTTCAGCCATACACAGGTCAAAGCCTGTTTTACAGGAAGGAGCTAATCATACTCCATTCATTCATTGTAATTTTAACCTGGACCAGAGAACTATCAATCTCCAATTCAATCCTCTCAGAAGTATTGATTTGTTATGGGAACTTAGAGGACTTTGTGACCCTGACATATTTAACGTGCACCAGTTACCTCATAATAATAATAATAGAGTATTCTTTGCCCATCATCATTCAAATTCTCACTCCCAGTGTCCTATAAACCAAGCTATCCTGGCCTACGACAAGATTGTTAACGTGACTGAATCCAACAATGATGATGTTCTGGAATCTTTAAATTTATAGCTTTATGGTATGTCTTCTTGCTTAATTATTAAAACCTTTTTAAAGTCATCCAAATCCAGGTAGCAGGAGAGGAACCACACTTTTACTGATTGCACTAAGCAAAAAAAAAAAGTTGCTACTAACATATAATCCATTATTTTATCCAATTTGCACCAAAACACAAATTTTACTTCCTCAGCAAAATTTCGAAAACTGAATGCCATTATTCTTTTCATATGATCTTTTAATTTCTCTTTCAAATACATGTGGTATCGCAGCTCTCAGTTGATCACACCCATAATCTTTTTCCTGTGTTATTGTTTTTATGGGATTCCTGTATTCAAAAAGAAAATATTGTAACAAAGCTGGTAAATGAAGAAAAGAAATTGGCCCAAAAATTTAATGGAACTTAAAAGTTATTAGAAAATGCTTGGAAAATTAAAAATTACTGTTGGGAGTATTCAAATACTGTTCCAGGATGTATCAACTAATATTAATGATGCGTTTTTGGTTTCCCTAATTCCAGAAATTAAGCAGGACTTTTGAAATTAAAAATTAGTGTTCAAAAGAAAATTTTAACAAACATGCATTTATTTATTTTTTTGTGTTTATGTTGATATTTTAATGATATCAATAATATTGATTTTATTTAAATTAGTAAATAAAATAGGATTAAATTTATATTATAATTTTCTCAGATTAATGTTTTATTTTTAGTTTAAAAACTTGCATTTTTTCTATTTATTGATATTTGAAATATTAAAAGAATAGTTCTTTGTCTGCTTTGAAATTATTCAACTTAACTTTAATTATTAAATATTTATCATTGTGCTTTTGTTAGTTTCGTTTTGCTTAAAAACTTTATTTTTAATGCATGTCAAAAGAGTAGTTTTTCTACTACTAGCTTGTTTCTATCTGATGTAAAAGAGTTCTTTTTGAATACAAAAATCGCTTCTCCATGATACAAATTAAGTTTTTTCTGATGCAAAGCTTAGATTTTCCAGATGTGAAAATTGATTCAACTTTTTGAAAGAGAGTGGGATCCCTACAGCGGTTATTTTAAAAAATATCATGAAAGAGCTAATGATTTTTTTTTATTATTTATTGTATCTGTTTAATATAATTTTTTCTAATTGAGAACTAAGAAAAAAAGTGTAAACAAGTTTAAAAATTAAATTTGATATGGATACAATTTTTATTAGTATTGTTTAAGTTTTTTTATTTAGTGAAATCTATAAGAGAATATAGAATTATCTCTGCAGGAATTTAAAGTGTGTAAAATCCTCTTTTTCAGATGAGTATGTTGCAAGTCTTCATTTGCCTACATTTGATGCCCACCTGACTGAAATGACAGATGAACAAGCTCGATATATGGGCTTAAACAAAGCTGGCCCTTTCAAACAAGCATATTATAGGTATTTAAAAAATATGTTTTTTAGTGTTTACAAGGCAGAATTTTATTTCCAAATATTACACCTGATATCCTACCAATTCAGTTTATTGCATTCTGTAGAATTGTAGTAATAGTATAAGGCAAACCAAAATAAATTAGATATAATTAGTGATGTAAATAGCCATATGCGGCTAGTTCCGATAGTTAAATGAAGCTTTATTTGAATTCTATTATTCTGCTTTATTGAATTTTTCATTCTTGTTTTTGTATTAAACAAGTAAAATTGATAATTTTGAATTAAATTAACTATTCATTGAGTTTAAAAAAAAACATAGTTTTCTTAAGTGAATGTAAATGATTTCTTAGAATAATTTAAAGGAAAGAAATTTTCCAAAACAATAAATGTCTTACATAATCCAAATAGCTAATGCCTTACTTTCAAATATTATGTTAAATATTGATGAGATACGAACTTATAGTTTGTCTACGGTAATAACTCCCCCCACGACAAAGTCTGAGGATGTCTGCTGCTATAGAAACAAGAATAGTGAATTTCAAAGAGGGTAGCTTCTATTCACTTTAAGGTTAACACAATAGACCAAAGAAGCAGATTCCCTTTCTCTTACCGACCTGATGTCCTGAACAGACATCCCACACCCCTACTTGAAATAGTTATACCTTGCTACCATAGTCACCTCCAGATGAATGGCTAGGGGAGTTCATACTTTAGACAAACTATATGTATCATTGTTTGCAAACAAAGAGCTATTTGCTAAAAACTTTTTAACCCATAACGGAACAATTCTGCCATACAAGCTGTATGGCACTTATATTTACTAGGTCTCATGCTGCATATAATATGGTGGCGAAAATAATTTTGTTATTCTTATTGTTATCTTTTTTACAATTGAGTACTTGCAGTGATTTATGCTTAACCATGTGGTTTGAAGAGATTTAATTGGATACCTGTAAGCTACGTCATGTGTGTGTTTCGAACCTGATTGGATTTTGAATCGAGAAATGCTAAGCATTGCCTGTGATGAACACTTGCAGGAATCCAATTAATTAATTAATAATTATTATAATTAATAATTAAGTATTTTAATTAATAATTATTTAATTTACTAATAATTATATCGATTGAGAATTAAACTTGTAGCACTTCCAAAATGTATTAAAATTATATTTTTTAAGTTTTGTTTGTAATGTATTCCTCTCTTTTTATTCCAGATATTAAAAGTTTTAGATCAGGTGAAGTCCATTAAATGTGAAAGTTTATCATAAGGTCCAATACAGGGTTTGATTGAGTTACTATCATTCCAGATCTTTCTTGTGAGGAAATTGTGCAAAGTTGAGGTGTCTTATGTCAGTGCTACAGTTTTAAATATTGTAGCGCATTGATTTATATTTAGATATTACCTCAATATTGTTTCTTTTCATAATATTACGCATTCATCAATTTCTTTTTTTTTTTTCATTTCTTAAAGGTGATTTTTGTTTACTATGTGTTCATTGTGTGTGTGTGTTTTTTTAATGTGTTCTGTGTTATCTATGCTTTTAGTATTATTATGTTCATATATTTTGCTGCCTTCTTGAAATGAGCTCGTCAAAATATGTACTTGCCAACTTGATTTGCTGTCTGTATCAAGTTTTGAAGAAGAAAAAACTCAATTCATAATAAAAGTGACAAAAAATTATTTAATAAAAAATGTGTATTATGAACTTTATTTCAAGAGTTTTGAATCAATTCAACATGTACTGAAATATTTTAAATAAATGTGGCTTGGAATTATTCTCAACATTTATTCAGGTTATGTCATATCAAATGATACATTGGTTATCATTGAGTGATTAATCATTATCATAAGGGAACAAAGCCAGCATTTCAGATAGCACAACACAAACTGTCAAAGATACATTTTTTTCCAATGTTGAAACATTTAAGTTTTTCAGAAAGACTATTTATTTANACATTTATTCAGGTTATGTCATATCAAATGATACATTGGTTATCATTGAGTGATTAATCATTATCATAAGGGAACAAAGCCAGCATTTCAGATAGCACAACACAAACTGTCAAAGATACTGTCTGTCAAAGATACATTTTTTTCCAATGCTCACTTAAGTTTTTCAGAAAGACTATTTATTTATTTATTAATTCTGAATAAATTTTCTATGCAGAAGTTAATAATATATATTACTATCTTTATTTCTAAAAATATGTATTTAAATTAATTTTAATTAATATGCATTGAAACATTGATTTTTCAAGACTGGCAAGTATATTGCAGTATCGTTTTTTTTACTTAATTTTAAACACATTTATTCAGTTTTAATATTTACAACCTTTCTGAAGAAAACATTGCTTAAAGATTTAAATTTAGATAGTTAATTCTGAAATCCCATTTTAGCTTAATGAATTAGTAAAATAATAATAACACGTATTTTTTTCTAGTTTTTGTTGATCATTTAATGATCAATCATCACTTGATTGTTTTATAGACTGCTTATATTATAAAAATCTGTTGATCGCGATTTTTTTTAATTTACAAAGATTTATATTCTGTTTTTGCATTACAGACAATGAAAATCTAGGTTTGTTACTTGGTTACTTTAATATTAATAAGTATTCGTCAATGAAAGTAATAATTGTAGTTTGTTATCCTTAAGTCCATGACAGTTTTGAACATGTTGCCTTAAGCCTACTAAATTGTATTTGAAGATTTGATTTTGTTTGAAATGCTTCTATTGGTCTAGAATTATATTAATCTTTTTAAAATTACATTAAGTATGAATAATATTGTGTTTCTAACATGTATTGCTGCTTTCTTGTCATTCAGAGACACATAGCACTGTAAATTTAATTACAAAAAACATTAATTTTGGCTATAAAAAATGATTTATTGTATTTTAGAAGCTCTTGAAAAATATTGTCTTGGTACGGTTAAAATTTCAGTTGTAAATGATAAAAATTTGAACTGTCATATTTTTATTGCTAAAAAAGAAAAGACCTTTTTTTAATTGAAAAAAAAATATTTTTTTTCCATGAATTCATGTAAACCACACTTTATTGATACGCTTGATATTGTTTTGTACTTTAAATTAAATATCTTCCTCAGTTTTGTCTTCTAATTGACTTACAAACATATTCAATTTTTCCCCCATTAAAAAAAGGGGTTTAACCCTCTGATCTTTAATTAAAGTTTTTTCATACTTTAAACTAATCACTTTCTGGCAACAATTTTTTTTTTCATAAGCGTATTGCGAATGGAAAATTTTCTACAGTTATACCTCAGGCTCTAATGCTTGAAGGGATAAAATGCATTTTGTGAATTTTTTAGTCTTTAAAACATAGCACTTGTATTAATAACATTTTTTTTTCTTATTCATTTGAAATATTACATTTCTACTAGCTGTCATATTTTTAAAAAAAACATTCCACTTGAAATATTCTAGTGCTTGAGTTATCTTACATAAGAGTTAAACATAAAATGTATATAGTGAAATATAATATAGAGTAAATATTTAATGAACTTAAAAAAGTACGAATTTTTAATGTTTCAACTATTATAGGTATAAGTTTTATTTTCTTGTTGTTTAAATCGATTTTTTTTTTATCTTTGTACATTATCATTTATACAATTTCTTAATTATAATTTATTCATAGTTCATTCAAATTCTTTTTTTATGTATACAAAGATGTTGATAATTTAGAAATTAAGTTATAGTTTCTGTCAAAATTAATTGTATGTATTGCGTATCAAATATCAAAACCATACTTTAAAAACGAAATTTAAAAGAATGCATACTTAAATTTTTAAAAAAATGAAGAAAGATAAAAGAAATCTTTCAATTGTTTTATTGAAATGTTCAAACATTTTAACTATGCTGTTAACTTTTGAATTAATATAGAAATAAGCACAAAAATAAAATATAAATTTAATTAAAAGTTGAATATATTTTAAATTTAAGAAAAACTCTTAACTTTTTTTTTTAAAAAAAATCCAAAAGAACAACATCTTTGCATATATATTTTAACATTTTTCTGAGCATGTGTATTATTTCACCTCCTGTAATATTTTTCATTTTTGATCTTCAGAATTTTAGCCTACTTATTATAAATAAGTAAAAGATGTGTACTTATCATTTCTATGCAAACAAATAATATCAATGTAAATTGTGATTTGACAAAAGTCAGCATAGTTTCTAAGTATGCAATATGTGTAGTAGTTGAAGAAAATAGAATTGTTACATTGCATAGTTTGAATGTTAAGACGAAATAAGTTGTGTATTCATAGCATTTTTGTAATATTTATTTTTGTGAAGATGTAACTTTCAAACTTCATGAGATATATATATATATAACACAGCGAATACATGGAACACAGTTGCAGCCCGTTAAAAGTAAAATTAGTCATTAAATCTTTTGCTTACCTACATTAACTAGTTTTTAAAATAACAGTAATGATATTACAACCAGCACGGTTTAAACAGAAATGATTATTAGAATGTGCTTTAAATTAATTACTTTATCAACATGCATTATCTAAAATTATAATCATTTTTATCATACATTTGTTTAAGACAAAAATAATCTATGTCTTTTAATATTGTGAAAGCAATTAGTATTTATAATTTTTTAAAGATTAAAACGTTAACTTATCAACTTCATCATGGACTGTATTTTAAATTACCTACTTTATAAATGCATATTATAATTATCTAAAATTATAATTTACTTCCAAAATACTATAAACATTGTAAATATATCCATTGCCCCATAAATGTCTAGTTTTTCTAATTGGAGACAATTAAAAAAAATTCCATAAGCTCAAAGGAATTTTTTTCAAGTGCTCTGTGCATAATAGAATTTTTATTTTTAAATTAGATTTAAGAAACAGGATACTTTTTGTGCAATGTTGAGCAAAACGGAGTTTTTGTTTGATTAGTCGTTAATTGATGGCTTCCATTTGATAATTATTATATTAAGTTCCTTTTTCAACTGAAATAAAATTTTAAAAAGGATTTTATTTTGATATTTTTCTAAAAAAAATTTTCTTTTGCTTAAAAAGGTGGTTTGGACTTTAATAAGTTAATTAAAATGAATTAAGTTTGCATCAAATTTAGTCTTTAAAGATTTATTTTGATTTAAAATTAATGAAGTACATTTCAGGCTGTGTAAGGTCTACCTTGCTGCAACTGTGTAAAATCCTATATTATTTTAATAATTCTCTGTGTTTGTTTTTTTTTTTACTTGTTTGACTGTACATACTTTTAAATTGAGAGCAATAGCAATAATATTTAATACTGTTACAATGAATCCTGATATTATTTGATCTACCCCGATTTGGCTCTCTTAGATTTATTACAATTTTTATCTTGCAATTTTCTGAGCATCGCCGTAAAAAATATCTGTGTCAACTAGGTAGAATTAATAAATTAACAAAAGGTTGTGAAAGTAAATAGTTACAGTTTACTGTGATTAAAGAATCTAGCATTAATATGATTTATTATTTGACTGATTTATATTTTATACATTAATATCAAATTAAATGTATTTTTTATAATTAATCTATATTTTTTCAAATATGAAAGCATGATTCCTTGTTGTATTAACACCCAAAATTATCAGTACTTTTTTTATTAAGAAAAAATATAATGCTTTCATTGCATGATACTGAATTAGAAACTAATTAAATTCTAACATCATTGCTCAGTTGTAAAACTGATAATTATGTTATATATTTTTGTCTACTTAAAAGCACTTATATCTCCATGATTAACTTTTCGTTAAGTTCTTACATATCTTTTTAATTATTCATTAATAGACAATCAGCATTTCTCTTAAATTTTTTCAAAAAAGAATATTTACCATTTTTTTGCAATGCAAAGAAGATTGTATTTCTTGGTAGATTCTATAATCACAGATTAATTTATTTACTTAATTTGCTGTTGTATATTTAAAACAACTTCTATCTCCATTCTTAATCAGAATAGCATAAATTATTCAAAGTCTTATCTTGTATTTTTCATCAGGTTTTAATTTTCCTTAGAAATAAATAAATAAATAAAATATTTTTAAGTAAGCGATACAATTCAAAGTTTTAAGCAAAAGAAATATTTAAACTAGTGTGATTTATTTCCTCTTTATTTTTAGTGGTGTCATTTTAAGTTATATCTACTTATATATATATTTTTGTAGTAAAGATTTGAATAGTGAAAAAATGAGGAAAATTATTGTAATTTCAATGTTATGATGCTTACTGTCAATGTGGCTGTAGTTTTTATTGTATACTCGTATAAATATCTCCATATTAAAGTCTGCATTTAACTTTTATAATTTTTAATGTTTAGGCACCCCTTTAATTTTCCTTTTTTTTAAAAAATCTTTAGCTATAACAGTAAATTTTAGTTTTTTACAGTGTCTGTCCAGTTATCCATTTCTTAATAAACTAGATAAATTCCCCATGTTAGTTTTCCTCAATATTAATTCTGCTTGAAAAACTAACTTCTATGCAAGCTATTTTTATGCAACTTTTATTGTATAAGTATATAATAATTTCTAACTTACATTGTAAAAGTCCTTTACTTCTATTGTTATTCTATTTAAAGGCCTTTACTTTTAGTAGTACTACTTGGTGCATTTTGGAAAAA